ACAAGTGAATCTAATTGGCTGCCATAATGAGAGCAACAATGAGGCCGTACAAGCCCAAAACTTCGGCAAAAATAAGGATGAGAATCATAGCAATAAATACTCGTTGTTCTTTACAGATAGCGCGTACTCCGGCATCTCCGATAACTCCAATAGCATATCCGGCCCCAAGACCACATAATCCACAACTGATTCCCCCACCAAGATACCTTAAAGACCTATTAAAAGTTATTTAGAAAAAATACAACAACCTTTCCATTGTAATATCAGCGGTAATTTTAGAAGAAATCAAAACGGAAACAACGAGACCGTAGACAGCAACAATACCAGCCATAATAACGGGAACGAGTGATTTCATCAAGAGTTCGGGTCTGCGCAAAGCCATACATGATATTCCCATGCTTGCCCTTGCGGTGCCAAAAGAGGCACCCAATGCTAATATATTTAAAAACGTCAAATGTAACATTACCACAAAATATCATAGAAGCAGAAGCCCCTAGAATTCCAAAAAATGGTACATACATTGGTCCAGCTGAAGCCATGATAGACTAACTACACATACATGTACACTGCGGAATATAAAAGAAAGGTAGCAATCGTTAATTCATAAAATTTTATTTTTTATCCAAATAAATAGAAACAAAAAATTTTTATACTAACTAAAAAATACTTGAGATATATTTAAACAACTTTGACAAAATACGTTTTATTTGCAATTTAAGCCGGTGAAAGTTAAATATTATTTAAATCAATATTAATGAAAGATTATATGTCATATTAAAGAGCTGATAAATTGTTTTTCTCTATCAAATGTTTATTGCACATAAATGCGAGGCCTTTAATGTTGTTTAATTTCGTTGTTGATCTCCAGTTATTGTAGTTTTGTAATATATGAAGATGATGGCTCTTGATTTTGATCCACTATTTCGCCTTAAAAAGCGTTTAGATTCTCTCAAGCGTACGCATGACGCAGGCGTTGCACGAAGTGCCTTTTTAACAGAAAGGAATTATAATGCAAACCGTCAGTTAATGCAGAGTCTGATTCATCGCTTGCACTCAGTAGATTCAAAGACAAAAAGAACCAAACGAGTAATGAATCGTGTGAAGCTTTCATCCCCAAAGGTAATTTACTCCATATTGTTTCTAGTTGCTTTGGTTTTATAGAAGATGCGTCCACTTACTGGTAAACCGCAAGAAATATTCAATCCAAACTATCCCGACTACGCGGATTTTCACAATAAGCTTAATCCTCTAAAGAGAATGCATCCGTCTGAATATTGTGACCCTTCAGACTCAAATTTATTGAAAGATTTGAAGGAGTTACCAACTCTTCATCCATCTCAGGTTGATAGTGTTTTTCGCAAAAAGGGAATGTGTTCTGATAATGCCTCCCAAAAGGGTGAACCGATATTCCCTCCTCCACCCGATCCCTCGTGTTCTTTATCTGCCCGTCCTGTTGTGAGCTCAGCTACAAAATCCACGACTTCCAGTTCACAACGCATTCGCAAGTGTTCACTGGCCTTCAATCAAGCTGGACCTTCAATACCACCCGCATCTTGTATGAACAATTATACTCAGAATATGCGTCCTGCAATGTCAAATTCACTCGCTACAGATTCTTACCCTTATGTTGACTTACGCACTAAATATGATCCCGATTTTTACCCATCCCAATCTACCTGTTACGACCAGTTAACTCTACCAGGTTTCTCAAACTACTATGGTTTTAATTCTTATGGTCATTCACCTGGTCACGGAACTTGGTCATCCCTGGGTAAATATGAACAGAGTATGTCCACACGTCTCGCCCAACCGAGTTCAGCCTCTCTTTCTCCTCCTGATGTCACAGCTAGTTATCGCGCTAATTATCCAGTCAGCACAGCACCTGAAACCTCTCCAGGATTTACCACCAACCTGCCCTTTAACCAATCCTTCCAAAATGATAATTTTATGCAAAATATGCAGTCATATCCACCTTCTCTTGAATCCCAACAGCCAACTTATGGGATGAATCTTCCCTCGTATTCCTATCCCCCTCCACCTAATACCACTTCTTATATGTAATTATCTTCCTCCCCTTCTCTCTTGCGAAAATCCGCTTTGATTAATTTTTAAACCATCAATGACTTTTGTTATAAATAAACGGCTCTTTCTTTTTAATATTCACTTAAGTGCCTCGTTGAGTTATTTCTCGCTATGTAGGGAACACGGCAGGCTAAAGTTGGACGACTGCTGATTTTTTTGCTCCAATGCCAGTGCAATCATGCTCGATCAATATTTCTTGGGTCTTCATCATTTCTGCTTTCCTGTAGCGTGGGAATGTGAGTTACATTGGCGATTGTGAAAGGGTGTGTTGGGGGGGGGGGGGGGTGGCGAGAGGTAGTTTAGCTGGTCTGATGCTTTTGCAGACTACAGCGGAGGCAGTGCACTATCATGCACACGCGCTAAGATTCCCACGGTTTGAAAGCGGCTATGCATAGTCATCATCATCTCTACAGTACCTGCTGTTCTGCATCTTTCTATCTTTGTGTATGCATTCGCTAATGACCAACACACTTTTGCTTTAGACTAGTCTGGCTTGGAATGAGTTATTTGGACTTAAGCGAACGTGCATTTTTACCCTTTTCACCAAGTGAAGTCTTCTGAGTTCCCTCTCGCTATGAATTGCTGGTTACTCTATTGAATGATCTAATTAATTTGCTTTCATTAATTTGGGTTTTGTCAGTTTTTGGCCATTTTTCATGGATTATTTGAAAAACGTACTTCATTTAATTGAGCATTAACATTTGCACCTCAGTTTATATAGCCCATGACTCAATCCCTTAAGTGAATACAAATTGTGCGGCCATGTAGGCGAAATTCATTCCAACAATTTCATCGCATCTAACAAAAGCTTAAATCGTAATTTGTTCTCCATAAAGGTTCCTTAAGTGTACAAACAAGTGATTTCAGTATTGAACGATCATAATTATAATTGTAATGGTAATAGTAAAAATAAAAAAAAACAAGCCCATCCGTGTAGGGTTGAAATTTGAGGGGAGAGCCAAGTGGGTGTGCGATAGACTTACCTCCACGTGGTGCACCCTGGAAATATGCCTTCACTATCAACATCTTATTTGGAAGCGGAGGGGTGTGTGCGATAGACTTACCTCCACGTGGTGCACCCTGGACAGCGTGCGATAGACTTACCTCCACGTGGTGCACCCTGGGCAACTTTCAACCCTTGCTGGTTTTCTAAACAATTATTCTTAAGAATACGATAGACTTACCTCCACGTGGTGCACCCTGGACAACGTACTTTCAAATGGCAGGCGTTATGATAGGTATCATGGGGTGTGCAATAGACTTATAAACTTACCTCCACGTGGTGCAGCCTGGGCAACGTATACCCCTCCACGTGGTGCACCCTGGCCAACGTATAATCATACGGTCTTACCTCCACGTGGCGCACCCTGGGCAATGTATACTACACCTTACCTCCACGTGGTGCACCCTGGGCAACGTATTCTCATTCGGCTACCTCCACGTGGTGCACCCTGGGCAATGTATACTCATACACCTCCACGTGGTGCACCCTGGGCAACGTATACTCACGATAGACTTACCTCCAGGTGGTGCACCCTGGACAACGTATACTCAAACGGCACGTGGTGCACCCTGGGCAACGTATACTCATACGGCTCCACGTGGTGCACCCTGGGCAACGTTTACTCATACGGCTCCACGTGGTGCACCCTGGGCAACGTATACTCATAAGGCACCACGTGGTGCACCCTGGGCAACGTGTACTCATACGGCAAGTAAGTCTATCACGTGGTGCACCCTGGGCAACGTATATTCATACGGCAAAAACTGGTGCACCCTGGGCAACGTATACACGGCAAAAGAGTCCGTGGTGCACCCTGGGCAACGTACACTCACACCTTACCTCCACGTGGTGCACCCTGGGCAACGTATTCTCATTCGGCTACCTCCACGTGGTGCACCCTGGGCAATGTATACTCATACACCTCCACGTGGTGCACCCTGGGCAACGTATACTCACGATAGACTTACCTCCAGGTGGTGCACCCTGGACAACGTATACTCAAATGACATACCTCCACGTGGTGCACCCTGGGCAACGTATACTCATGTGACAAAAAAGTCTATAAACCGGCAGTTGACTTCTGAGTTCAAGCTATCTTACCTCCACGTGGCGCACCCTGGGCAATGTATACTACACCTTACCTCCACGTGGTGCACCCTGGGCAACGTATTCTCATTCGGCTACCTCCACGTGGTGCACCCTGGGCAATGTATACTCATACACCTCCACGTGGTGCACCCTGGGCAACGTATACTCACGATAGACTTACCTCCAGGTGGTGCACCCTGGACAACGTATACTCAAACGGCACCTCCACGTGGTGCACCCTGGGCAACGTATGCTCACTTCAAACTACTAAATCTATTAACTGGCAGTTGACTTCTGACTTCAAACTATGCAAAATTACATTTACCGACAGTTGACTTCTGACTTCAAACTGCCACTTTATTATTCGGCAGTTGACTTCTGACTTCAAACTACCAAAAGTCTATTAACTGGCAGTTGACTTCTCACTTCAAACTGCCATCACCCAACTTCAAACTGCCCACGTGGTGCACCCTGGGCAACGTATACTCATACGGCAAACAAACGTGGTGCACCCTGGGCAACGCATACTCATACGGCAAAATGTGGTGCACCCTGGGCAACGTATACTCATAAGGCAAAAAGATCCCTATTAACCGGCAGTTGACTTCTGACTTCAAACTACCATACTATTAACTGGCAGTTGACTTCTCACTTCAAACTACCATCTATTAACCGGCAGTTGACTTCTGACTTCAAACTACCATGAGTACACCCTGGGCAACGTATACTCATGCGACAAAAAAGTCTAAACTGGTGCACCCTGGGCAACGTATACACGGCAAAAGAGTCCGTGGTGCACCCTGGGCAACGTACACTCACACCTTACCTCCACGTGGTGCACCCTGGGCAACGTATTCTCATTCGGCTACCTCCACGTGGTGCACCCTGGGCAATGTATACTCATACCGCAAAAGGGTCTCGGCAGTTGACTTCTGACTTCAAACTACCATGACCCCACCGAATGTCATATTCGACTACTTCCACAGTACTCACCTCACTTTTTTTCTACCTTTGTGTCTGCCTCTTTTACTTCTGTGAAACACTTCTGTCCCCCCTCCCCCACCTCTCGATTTTTTTTCCTCTGTGAAGGCTGAAGTCAACTAAAGGGCTAATGATAAATGTGAAGACTGAAGTCAACTAAAGGGCTAATGATAGCAATCAAAAGACTGAAGTCAACTAAAGGGCTAATGATACCAATCAAAACGCCTGCCATTTGATATAATAATAATAATATTAAACGATCTCTTGTTAATCCCTGTTTCAGCGTTTGCCAACAACCTTCGATTACGTTTGAATAGCAAGGATTCCAACTTTTTGGCCATTGTCGCTAAAATGCAATCGATTTATGCTAATAAATAAGTACGCAAAGCGCAAACACTGGGTTGAGCAATAACTGCACTTCTTTTCGCAAAGAGCTTATTGAGCACTCATTGACCATTTTCTACACATATATTTGTTCTAAAAATTAATGGGTTAATTATTTCATTATTTGACAATCGCTACCTGTCCCAAATTCTCCAAGCATTCAATTTTTGAGTGCACGATTTCCTTTTCCAACTTGATCATGTGATCCCACGGAATCCACTACCACCCCAGCCAAAGGAGGGGGCAAATTTTCACAAAAAATACGGTGCTCTACTTACAGACATCTTAGAAAATATTCCAGAGGTTGGGGTTTTCAATTGAACTAAGTCAAAATCCTATTCGCACCAAAAAAACAAAGAACTAAAAAAGTACAGGCCTGAATATAAGTAACAAATCAGTTTATTTTGACGTAATGTTTAGAACAGTGGCATTTCCCTCATAATCCTTTAAAAGAACGATTGCGTAAATATATTTGTACTTTATTATAAATGCAGACTCTCTATCATTGTGCCTGTCTCTTTTACATCTACAAATCACTTTTCGATCCTCCTCTTGAACTTTTCTCACTTTGATGTTTCTCCCCTCTGTGAAGTTCGAAGTCAGCTACGGGCTAATGATAACCATCAAAACGCCCGCCATTTGAAATAAATGTTGGCGAAGTATTAGTAACCATCCGCACACCTTCGTATTGACATTTGAGATTCAGTGCATGTGAATAAGTCTTGAGGAAAGGGGAGTTACCTAAATTTCCCACTTAGGAGTTCTGTAGCATTTGCCTGGATTTTTGAATCTAATATCTGTTATTACATAAACAAGATTCTTGCCAGATTCTCGATATATCCCTCAGGCTGTGGTTTTTAGTATGGCCTTTCCAAAGAACTGAAACATCTAAATTTCATGGTTTAATTCGAAATTTTTATTTATATCAAATGGCAGGCGTTTTAATGCCTGTCATTAGCCCTTTAGTTGACTTCAGGCTTCACAGAGGGGAAGAAACATCAAAGTGAGAAAAATTCGAGAGAGGGAGCAGAAGAGTGATTCAAAGATGTAAAAGAGACAGATACAAAGGTAGAAAAAAAGTGAGGTGAGTACTGTGGAAATAGTCGAATGACATACAGTGGAGTGATGGTAGTTTGAAGTTAGAAGTCAACCGCCGAATAATAGACTTTTTTACCGTATGAATAAACGTTGTCCAGGATGCACCACGTGGAGGTAAGTCTATCGCACACCCCTTATTCGAAATGTAAATTTCTATCGACGAAAATGATGATCTTGAAAAAATGTCCTCTTAGCGTGCACTTTTGCCCAACTGTCTTATGTAAAACCTCGGGGTCTTAATTGTTCCAATTTTATCTACTACGTTAGCTCAGTTACTCCAAGGTGAACTTAATGGTTTATTATTGATTAGTCAAAAGCTTACGAACTCTTGCGAAAATATTCTATTGATTTTTCACCGAGAAGGTATAATGAATTAGAAACCCCATTTCTGGACAAGTAAATGCTAGGCTTGCAACGAAATGCA